CCCCCCAGGGGGGATGGCCACACCGCAATCCCTTCTCCTCTATTCTCCTCTCAGGATCTTGGGCACGCACACAACACATGCCTGGTGTGAGTTTTAAGCCACCCGGTCCAGGACATGAACCACGGTCTACTACATGGGAGTCCAGCGACATAGCCATTACGCTAACTGCTGGTTCCCTTCTCCACTCTCTTTATCAGATAAATTAGGAAGAACCATGCGTCTGTAAATGTTCTTCATAAACTGCCAATTGTCAAGCAGAATTCAACCATGTGAGTTGAGCTGAAACCGTATTTTGTCTTAATTGAATTTGATACATTTGGCTGGGGCTGCCTCTCTAGTTCAGCGAAAGTCCCATCATTTCTCTCTCTCAACTTCTCCATTTTCAGAATCTTTGCCTCCAAGGAATCCCCCATTTGTATAACCCAGTTCCTTTTCAAAAATGTGTTTTGGGGATCAGCAGGTGGCGTGGTGGTTGAGGTGCTGGACACTCCCACATGGCTGACCACGGTTCAAGTCCCGGACCTGGTGGCTTGCTTTCTCTCTCTCTCTCTCTCTCTCTCTCTCTCTCTCTCTCTCTCTCTCTCTCTCTCTCTCTCTCTCTCTCTCTCTCTCTCTCTCTGTCTCTCTCTGGTCAAATTAAAATATATAAATGAATAAATAAATTTAAAAAAATGTATTTCGGGGAGCCAGCAGTTAGTGTAATGGCTATGTCGCTGGACGCCCACGTAGTCGACTGCGGTTCGCGTCCCGGACCCAGTGGCTTAAACCTCACGCCGGGTGCGTGCGCGTGTGTGCCCAAGATCCCGGGAGGAGAATGGAGGAGAAGGGATTGTGGCGTGACCATCCCATCTGGGGGGTGATTTCTCGCTGTCTGTCTCTCTGTCTCTCTCTGTCTGTCTGGCAAGCGCACACGCCCTATAGCGAAAACCTCGCAAAAAAAAAAATGTATTTCGGAGCCAACAGGTGGTGTGGTGGTTAGAGCACTGGACTCTCACGTGGCCTACTGCAGTTCAAATCCCAGACCTGGCAGTTTGCTTTCTCATTTTCCCTTTCTCTGTCTCTCTCTCATGAGTGCATGTGCCCTATACCAAGTTTTAAAATAATAATAAATTAAATTAAATAATTAAAAAAAAACACCCTTTCTCTTCATTTAGGCGAGCGTGTGGGTACACTGTCAAGAGTGAGAGCAAGACAGAGAGTGAGGGGACACTGCACAGTCTATCCATGCTGCCATCTCGTTCCTCCAGTCCTCCAGCCTACAGGACCTTGGGAATTTTGCACATATCTGGCACCTTTCAAGCTGAGTGGTGGGGGATGCAAACCCTTCTTGCCATCATGCTTTCCTTGAGCAGCGCATTACTGCTGAAGCTTGGAGCAGGTCCTACCCTTTTTATTTTTTCACTCATGATAGAGTGCCTGCCCACTCACAAGAGAGAGGAAAAGACAAGCATCCTCCACACAGTTTGTCACACCACAATCCCCTCCCTTTCCTTTTCAGACAAATCAAGTCAGGGACTCAAACCAAGGCCAGCATGTGGCTTCCAGTTCTGCAGTCCAATCTGCAACCTTCTCGGCCACAGAGACTGGGTCCCCAGCCCACCATTTGCTGACCAGCAAAGTGTCCTCCAGACAGTTTCATTCTCCTTAGAACAGGAGAGGGGGGGGTAGCAGGTGGCATGGCAGTTAAGGTGCTGGACTCCCACGTGGCTGCAGTTGTAACCTTGGACCTAGTGGTTTGCTTTCTCAATTTCCCTCTCCCCCTCTCTTTGTCTCTCTGGTGAGCACATGTGTCCTATGGCAAACTTAAAAAATAATAATAAATAAAATCATGTTAAATAAATAAACAATTTCTTAAGAAGAACAGGAGAGGAAATGTTATAAACTAACATTGCCTTTTATTGTTGCATATGTATGTATGTATGTGGCCTCTGCTAGAATCTACGGTTATTGAGGGCACTATGCAGTAAATCCAAAGAACCTAGAACATGCCAGGAACCTAGAGGAATCCAACAGATGTGTTAGAAGAAGAAAACAGAAGTGAATATTCAGTCTTCTCTTAATGTTGAGCAAAATGAGCCAGACTTTGAAAGATACATACTGTATATCCCCACTCAATGAATATCTGCACTCTATGGCAGAAATGGAAAGATCCAAGGATAAAATTGGAGAGGATAGGTGTAGTTTCCAGAGACTGTAAGGGAGGGGAATGGATGGAAGAGGGTGGGCATGAGGTGCAAAGGGAAGAAACAAATGTTTAACAGACAAAAAAATGTGAAGTTCTCTGTTGAAATATATACATACACATATAGTATACATCATGATAGGAACTCTATGTAAATGTGAAATTAATAAGAAAACAGTTGTTTAATAATTATGTGAAATTGATAAAGAAAAAAGTAAAGAAATGAAATGAAGATTCATTCATTCAACAAATATTATCATGCTCTAATTATGTCCCAGTTACTAAGCTAGGTACTGGGAATATGACAGTGAGCTAACGGTCAGTTCTCAATCCTCTTCCTGTTCTACCATTCAACAGTGGCTGGCCATGATTTTTCTCACCAACTGTTCCTTCCCAGAGTCCTTTGCTGGCTCCTTCTCTCATTGGTCTCTAACTAATACAATGTCCTTGGGCTCAGACTCCAGCTCTCCTCAGTTCTTTACACAGTTCTACACTATTTTATCCAGTTCCTTGGTTTTAAATATTAACTTGAAACTGATCACTTCCAAACGTCTCTGTCCAGGCTCAAATTATACTTTGAGGTATAAGCAAATATATATATATATATATATATATATCCACCTACCTACTCAACACCTCCACTCAGATGTAAAATGAACATCTCAAACTTAACGCGTCCAAAACAACTCAGCTCTGCGCGTGGTCAGTCGTGATTCTTTTCTTTCTCTATTATTCTATTCCCATACCAAATTCTTATGCAAGTCTTGTTCTCTCTGCTTTCAAAATACACCTTGACAGAGCATGTCTCTCGGTCTCTGCTACTGCCAGCCTATTCTCAACCATAAACATTTCTGGTTTTAAAAAATGACAAATGGGGACCCGCAGATGGCATAGCAGTTCTGTTGCTGGACTCCTCATGGCTGACCACAGTTCGAGTCCTGGACCCAGTGGGTTAAGACTCACATGGGTCACGTGTGTGTGTGCCCAAGATCCAGGGAGAATGGAGGAGAAGGGATTGTGGCATGGTCATCCCCCCAGGGGGTGCTTTCTCACTTTCCTTTTCACTGTGTCTGTCTCTCCTCTGCCTCCACTTGGGAGCGCACACACCCTAAGGC